AAATCCTGGACAGCTAGGGGGTCCTTGAGGACTGGGTTGAGAACCTGTGCTTTAAAGGAACACAAACATGTATTCCTGATCCTGTACTGTTAAAACCACAATCTAGCCCCCATGTCCTCCCTAAATATAGTAAAATCATACTTGTATTAAAGTCTGAAGCTGCTGCCTTTGCCCCTGATCTGCCTGCTTGGCTGACATCATCAGAAGTGATTTTTCTGAGTCAATCACAATGCTTTCCCATATGATTGGCTGAGACTGTCAGGAGCAGAGGAAGGGCAGAGCCAGCACAATTCAAACACAGCAATGGTCAATCAGCATATTCTTCTAGCATCTCTAGCAGCCACCCGAGGAGTGATCAATAGGCTGTAATGTAAACACTGCATCTCCTCTGAAAAGACTGTTTACAGCAAAAAATGCATGAAGAAAATTATTATACTCACCAGAATACAACAAGCTGTAGTTCTAGTGACTATATAGTGTCCCTTTTAGAGAGGCATATGTAGGATCATTTTTGTTTGGCAACAGTATGAAATCATGATTTGATTCACTGCCCAGGCACACAATTTTTGTAGCACTTCGCACAGATATACTGAACACGTTATTTGTTTTGCTGAGTTTTAAATCATGGGTTCACAGACAATCTCAGACCAGACAGGGAAGAGGACAATGCAATCCCTGTTTGCACAGAATCCTATGCCAAACAGCAATATACATCTAAATGATGCCTTACTCATGCATGTATGGAACATTTAAAATAACGGTTATGAATCTGTTATTTTGATTAAAGGGACACTATAGTTGCCACAACACCTACAGATTAATGTAGTTGTTCTGGTGTCTACTGCCTGTCACTGCAGGCTTTTCAATATAAACATTGCCTATTCTGAGGCAAGGCAGTGTTTACATTACTGCCTAGGAACACCTGAACGCTGCCCAAACAGATGCACTAATTTAATGCATCTCTAGGAGGAGATGCTGACTGGTGCAGTGCATAATTTTGCCACATATGCATGATAGTCTCCCAATTGGATAGCAGTGGATTGGCTGAGATCATCAAGGGGATGGTGCGGGCCGGAACCAGCCTTGAGGAGACCAGTTAGGCGTTGGATAAGTCAGTTAAATTACCTTAACAAGTGACATGGGACGGGGACGGGGGGAACCTATAGTGTGAGAAAAGTTTGTATTCCTGACACCATAGTGGTCCTTTAAAGGAAGTCCAAATACCCTGGTGCCCTTCCTAGTGTAAGTATTCAAGCTGGAAGCTCTCTGCATGGAGATAAACCTGCACCTCATTGACAGAGTGATCAGATGATGTTTTGCCCCCTCTTCTGATTAGCTTTAACATCTTCCCCGATGGCCCAGTGGGTGTTAATAAATCTCTGATGGACGATTAATGACTCGCATTTATTCAGCAGGGATTAATAATAAATACTTGGTGGTAAAGTGGTCTTAACTATTTCCTGATGATCTGGTGGTGTATGGGGTCTAAATAACGTTATTCAAATACTTATATCATATTTAATTTTTTTTATTTATTTTTTTTAAATGTATACATTTCACATGAGGTTAAACGTCTATCCATTAGTTAAGGAAAGCATTATCTTCAAAAATTAAGGATATGAATAACATATGCACTGCAGAACTAACCTAATGACAAAGACGTGCTTAATAGGATATTGTATGTCCATCCACACCCACAGTTTCCTTACTTGCATCCTGTCCGCTTTCACTCCAGGATCTACTCTATACTAATGCTCATCTATATATGCAAGATAGATAGATAGATGCACGCACACACACACGTAAACATTAGACATATTAGAAAATATACACCATCTGATTAGTGTAAAGAACACTTTCTTCTTTAACCCTTAGTAATACTTTTAAACATATATGGATCCAATTGTAGCTGTATTTGACAAGTTTTGTATTTTATAGTTGCCATTTAAAATAGCACAACTTAAAAAGTAAAATGATATAGTGGAATTGTATAGCATTACAGATACTACTGGAACATTGCATTTCTGTAGATTTACAGATGTTTCTCTCCCCCCCCCCCAATTTGCTTTTCCATCCTTTGTAGAAAAAAAATAAAAATAAATAAAAAATAATGGAGGAGGACAAAGTATAACAGACTAGACTCTAGATCAAGGGTAGGCAACCTTGTAGCAGCACTGTGATGATATAGGATTGTGATGTCCCGTAGCGTGTCGGTCCTATCTTTTAAAATTGAGGTGTGTATGCTGCCCTATCTGCTTGTGTTATTTATACTGTAATTGCTTTGTATTTGTGCGTATATGAGCTATTATATTGTATATGTTCATGAGTAGTTTGTGGTATCGTGTACCTACGAATGTGGGCTGTGTATGGGGGCTGCTTGTGGAATTGTGTGTGTGGATGGATATGTCACATTGTGTGTTTGGTAGTGTGTGTATGTGTGGGGGCTGTTTGGGGTATTGCATGTGAGAGGCTGCATGTGGGGTTGTGTGCGGGTTACATTTGTGCGGATTGTGTGTATGTTTGTTTGTGGGCTGTTCGTATTATTTGTATGATGGGATGGTTATTGTACATTTCTGTGTATATCCAGCAGTGTGGCTTCCCTAGGTTCCAGTGGGGACCAGGCTGGCCAGGTACAGGTGAAGGGCAGGAGCTGCAATATCCGCTGTGAGCTGCTCTACCACAGTGTGGATTCCCATTCACAAGTGCTTGGAAGAAGTGATCTGAGGTCACTTCCTCTACTTGCTGCAATATATAAATTGAGGATTGTCCTTCACCACCTTTTCATATTAGCAGATATCTGAAGTTTCACTTGGACTCCTTATAGGCCAGAGCCTGTTTGGCTCTAGAAGCCTTGAGTGCCGTAGGTTGCCTACCCCTGCTCTAGATCATCTTACACGTTTACTGCATTTAGACAACATCAGTAACATGGAACAATCTGGGTAACTGAGGTTTAGAGAGGACTGCATGCAAACCACACGCACCCAACATTCCCTTTGGCTTCTCTCAGGAAGCAGAAGTATACCTGACAATCAACACATCTTTTACCAAAGACTTCTACTCCCACAATCATCGGCCAGCCAGGTCTGCCCAGCAATGACTAGAGCAGTAAAGACGGCATTCCAGCTGCTGTGGACTGTGTTTCACATTACTCCCAGACAGCAATGCATCAAGCCAGATGTCAGTGATTCCTGTCACAGGACCATACCCAGGTGTAATGCAAGTATGAGCAATATGGGAGTAATCTTAACATGTTACACATACACAGCCCTGTGTGCAGGGCCTACTCTCATCCACCCATTCCTGAGACAGCAGTGCTGTTACTAGTGTAGCCCAACCCTGCACTCATATAAACAGAAAGGGACCATTTCCCTTCCTCCCCCACGGATGCTGTCAGTGTGCACAGCTCTGTGTATGTGAACCCTGTCAGTGTGCACAGGGCTGTGTGTGAGATGCTGTCAGTGTGCACAGGGCTGTGTGTGAGATGCTGTCAGTGTGCACAGGGCTGTGTGTGTGTGTGTGTGTGAGAGATGCTGTCAGTGTGCACAGGGCTGTGTGTGAGATGCTGTCAGTGTGCACAGGGCTGTGTATGTAAGATGCTGTGTGTGTGTGTGATGCTGTCAGTGTGCACAGCTCAGTGTGTGTGAGATGCTGTGTGTGATGAAGGGCACCGTGTCCGGAGCTGGCACTCACTGTTATGTGTGATCCTCTGGACGTTGCCGCTGCAGGTCTGGATGATGCTGTTGAAGTCCCGGCCCCGGGCCGCGGTCTGTTGCCTGTAGGCGGACATGATGCTGCTCGGTCGGCCTGTGTGATCCTGTCCGCCGGTCACTGCCTCACTACGCAGCAGCAGAACGACGCCCGAGAGGCTAGATCAGCTTGATGATGTCACTGCCCTCGCCAGCCAATAGCAAGCTAGTTTCCATTGGCGAGGGATGCATGGATTAGGCGCAATGGGCGTAGCGCGGTGATTGGCTGTGCCGCGTTCGTTATACCACGTGATGTTGGGTGTGGCGGGAGACCTGATGTTGGAAGAAATGGGTTCTATAAATATCTGGAATATGGAATAATCTATTAGACTCAGCTCACTGTTACTGTGTCACTCTTTACAAGGTGGTTGATCTGAGCAATGTGTCACGGTATGAGAGCTGCTCAATTAAACAGGGAATAGACAATATGGAGTCAATTACAATTTTTAGATCAATATAACCAAAGTGGAGAATTTGTTGGCTGCAATTTACTATTCCAACAATACACCATCTTAATTTAGGAAATAAACTCATAAAGTGCGGATGGCTTAACTGTAGGGTTACGAAATCCACCATGTTTACATACTGATGGGCGGCACATCAAAAGGTTGCCCCATAGAATTATGTGTCCCTGAAAACATGGTGGATATGGAAACCTTACTTAAAGGAACGCTATAGGCACCCAGACCAGTTCAGCTTAATGAAGTGGTCTGGGTGAGAGGTCCATCTAGTGTTAACCCTGCAGCTGTAAACATGGAAGTTTCAGAGAAACTGCTATGTTTACATATAGGTTAATCCAGCCTCTAGTGGCTGTCTAATTTTATGGCAAGGCAGGAGGCTTCATATTTGCTTATGTTTCTTTACTGTAACTCCCAGCAGCAAAGAAGTAGTTAACAAGGTTGTAAAAAATTCAACCAATCATAACACATTACAGGAACAATATAGTGCTATCAGACTCCTCCCACTTCCTCTTTCTTTGCTGCTTGCCTCCCAGGTGAGTCTATTCTAATTATGTTGCCTAGTTTTACTACTTGATTTTTTTATTTGTCATAGATTATTTGATAATTTCTATATGTTAACCCCTAAAGACCGGAGGGCGTATTATTGCGCCCTATTTTAGGTGGCTCTAAATGCCGCCGGGCATAATAGTACGCCCTCCGTTCTTTCTATACTTACCCGGTTGGGGGGACTCCCAGGGAGCCCCCGCGGCACGTCCGAACCCCTGGCAGCCCCCCCGGCCATGTGAGAGTGAGGTCCTTGCGAGGACCTCACAATCACATGGCCAGGATAGCTGCCTGCTGTATTGCCAGCAGGGGGGCTGCCTGTAATGACAGGTGGTCCCCCTGCTGGCTGAAAATAAAATTAAAAAAAGTTAAATAAGTGTAAAAAAAATATTATATACTTAGATCATATATATATTATATATATATGATCTAAGTATATATATATACACATATACATACACACACATACACTATCTAGGTGTATTTTACTATTAATATATATATAATTATATATATATTAACATCAAATTACACGTAGATTGATACTGATTAAATATATATATAATTATTGTTATATATATATATTTATATATAATATAAAAAAAAATATGTAAATACGTTAAAAAATTAAATTAAAAAATAATTTAAAAAAAATAATTTAAAAATATATAGAGGTGTGTTATTTCGTTCTAACTGTATTGTGATATTAATATATATATTTATATCAAAATACACGTAGAACGAAATAATATTTCCTGGCCATATCCATGGCAGCACAACATTGGGTAGCTCCTCCCTATCCTCATTGGACAGGAATAATAATTAGGCCGTATAAGTACTATCTCCAACCCCTCCTTCCCCAGTCTTTTTTTCCTGTCCTATCCTCTAGGACATGCCGGTCCTTTGGACCTTAGAATTTTTTCTTTTATGGCTTACCTGAGGAGTAGTTCCTCCAGCCCCTGGGGAGTTCACCCTCTCTCCCCTGGGAGGTCTCCAGTATACGGCCCTGCGCAAAGGTGTCCCCCTGGAGAAAACCCCTTTAGTGACCGGGGGTTTTGTCTATCCAATATCTTGCAGTGACCCCTGGGGTAGCAAGTGAAGGACCTATTACATTTACTTTTGGATATTATTGGTACCTACAGAAAAGGTATGGAATTGATATGTTTTCAAACTTACAGCCAGGAGCATTCAGCAGGTAAGAATCTTCTGGCCGCTTGTAGAATTACCCGAGTGTTCTCAGGTTCAGGGCATCAGTTTGTTCTTCCTGCGGCGTTCGTGGATTCCTTGAACGCATGCGCGGTGTTCGGGGATTGCCGGACGCATGCCCGGCGTTCGTGGGTTTCAGGACGCATGCGCGGCGTTCATGGGTTTCCCGGCATTCGAGAATTACCGGGCGCATGCGCGGCATTCGGGAAGTTCTGATGTTCGCGCGGCATCATACGTAATACCGCACGAAGGTGGATAAGCACGTTCGTGCGCAAAGGCCGTTCGTGGGTTTTTTCGGTTTCTAGGGAATGCCCAATGACGTCAGACGCCTATTTAAAGCGCCAAAACCAATTTTTAGTGGCAAGAAAGCATTCTGATAGTTTGGTATATTGGCAATACTGTCAGCTTCTTCACCCTTTCCAGTCTTCCTTCCTGGGACAACGTAAGTAATTTTTTTTTTTCCCATATATTCTCTTTATTTTCCTTTCTCTTCTTGGTTTAGAATTCTTCTGTTCCATCAACCATTTCCAGATGGATTCTTGTTCAAGATCCAAGGAATCGGATTCGTCTCACAATAGGTCACAATCAAAGCAATATTGGTAAGCCATCTCATAAAAAAAATAAAAAAATAAAAAAAAAAGAGTGGGTATGTACTTAAAGCACGTCTTGTGTATTGTAGTGCAAAAAGTACAAAGACTTCAGGATCGTCCAAAGGGAAGTCACCCAAAAGGACGCTATGCATATCCTGTGACAACAGAGCCATAGAGGGGAAACGTCTCTGTTCAGATTGTCTCTCAGCAGCTGCAGGACCTTCTCAACCAACACCGGACATTATGCAACTTATAAAGCATGCAGTTGCCCAGGGTATCAGAGAGGTTGGAATGACCCATAAACGACCTAGATATTCTGAGCCCTCAGATCTTTCTCCAGGAAACTCAGAAGATGAGTTTATGGAGTCAGCTTCACTGAGAGACCTAGCCTTTTCCTCGGTGGAGGATGCTATGCCAGATCCAGACTTCCTAGTACCAGCGGAAGTGGATCGTTTAATTTCCCGGGTTACAGAAACCCTTACATTAAAGGAACCCTCAGAAGAGGAGCCCTCTACATCAAATCGTTACTTCTCCGATCTTAGGAGGAAAAGGGCAACTTTCCCGGTGCATGACACTATCAGGGATCTTATTAAGGAAGAATGGTTTAGATCTGACAGGAGATCATCTGCCAAAGGAAAATTCTCCAGATTATACCCATTTGAGCCCAAAGATGCTGAAGCATGGGATTTTGCTCCCAAGGTTGATGCTGCAGTTGTCAGGTTAGCAAAACATACTACCCTACCTGTGGACGATGCTGGTTCATTCAGGGACCCAATGGATCGTAAAATGGAGTACTATCTTTCCAAGTCATATTTATCCTCAGGCTCAAGTCTCCACCCTGCCGTTGCTCTCACATCAGTCACAAGAGCTATGAAAGTATGGTTACAAGATCTGGAGGAGGACATCAGGAGTGGCAGGAGCCGTTCCTCCATTGTGGATAGTATGAGAGATATGCATCTAGCAATGGAATTTTCATCCGAAGCAGCAGTAGATCTAGTAAGGAATCTTGCTAGGAATATGTCCTTTTCGATTTCCTCCAGACGGGCACTTTGGCTTAGATCTTGGGCAGCTGACGCTTCCTCCAAGAATAGTCTATGTTCTTTGCCTTTCCACGGGAATATGTTATTTGGTAAGAACTTAGACGAATGTATAAAGAGAGCGGCTGAAGGTAATAAGGCTTTCCTTCCTCAAGAAAGGAAATATAAAGGATCCTTTCGTGCCCGAAAATAATATCATTCCTTTCGGGATAGTAGATCTTACAAGCCCGGCAGAGAATATTCCAGATTTCAACCGGGAAGAGGAGCCCAATCTGGAGGAAGAGGAGGCAAGTCATGAGGTACTTTTTCCTCCAAAAACCCAAGAAATTCATGACTATATAATTCCCAAGTCCGAAGGGGTCGGGGCCTGTCTTCTCCAATATCTACACAGATGGGAAGAATCCACAAGCGACAGCTGGGTACTGGATATTATTCGGAGAGGATACCTTCTAGAATTTTTCAAGCATCCTCCCAACAGGTCCTTTCATCTCACAAAGTGGCCAGGGGACAAGGAGAAGCGTATGGCTCTACAAGACTTCATTCTATCCTTGCAAGCAGAGAATGTCATCACAGCGGTACTGGCAAGCGACAGAAATCAGGGATTCTACTCTCACATCTTCCTAACAAAGAAATCCTCAGGAGGATGGAGACCTATTTTGGATCTGCACAGATTGAACAAACATCTACACATTCGCAGATTCAAGATGGAATCCCTACAGTCCATTATAAAAGTGATCTCACACAACCAATGGATGTTATCTATAGACCTGTTAGACGCCTACTTCCATATACCCATTGCCCTATCCCATCAAAAGTTTCTGAGATTTGCCTAAGAAGAGGGTCATTTCCAGTTCAGAGCACTCCCGTTTGGACTAAGCACTGCTCCAAGGACATTTACAAAAGTATTGGTAGTTCTGATTGCAGAACTAAGAAAGTTGAATATCGCTATCTATCATTATTTGGACGACATCCTAATTGTAGGAGACAGCAAAGATTCATTGACCTCCCAAGCTATTACCTGCATCCAGTTTTTACAAGCTCACGGCTGGAAGATCAACACCAAGAAGAGCCACCTCCACCCAACTCAATCCATGATATATTTAGGTGCTCACTTCAAGACTCTGAGAGGTACGGTCCAACTTTCTATGACAAGAATATTGAAGCTCAGGATACAATTGGGAAAGATAATAAAGTCCAGTGTTGTTCCTGCAAAGACGGTAATGAGTCTCCTCGGATCCATGTCATCCACAATAGGTCTAACCAGATGGGCACAATGGAGGATTTCCTGACGCAATTTGCTTCCATGAATCTACTCCAACCCATCAAGTTATCCCGAGAAGTACGCCAATCTCTGATCTGGTGGCTGAACAAGGAACACCTTTCCAGGGGGTTTCCGCTAGGAGACATCACATGGATAGCAGTGACAACAGATGCCAGCCAATGGGGATGGGGGGCACATTGTCTCCAACACTTTGCACAGGAAGAATGGAGTTTCACGACAGACGATGTGCATTCCAATCTACTAGAACTTCTTGCTATCCTCAAAGCACTAAAACATTTCTCAGTGTATCTCAAAAACCAATGGGTAAAGATAAGGACAGACAACACCACCGTGGTATCCTATATCAATCACCAAGGAGGCACCAGGAGTGGCAAAATGATGGGAATTATGAAACAGCTGATGGGATGGGTTCAGAGGAACCTAGCAGGGCTTACTGCCATCCACCTACCAGGGAAACGGAATCAATTAGCCGATTTCCTCAGCAGATCCAGGATAGACCCAGGAGAATGGTGCCTATTGGACAGAGCATTCCGCATGATTGTGGACAAGTGGGGTCTCCCTCAAATCGACCAACTAGCTACCTGTGTCAACAGGAAGGTAAAGGTTTACTTCACGAAAGAAAAAGTCCATCTAGCACTGGGAAGAGACGCGTTATCCAGCCCCTGGAGATTCAAAATAGGGTATGCATTCCCTCCATTCCCTCTGATCTTCCCAATCCTGAGGAGGATGAGAACAGAGAAGGTATCTCTCATCCTGATAGCCCCCTATTGGCCTCGAAGGCCTTGGTTTCCCCTACTTCAGAACCTTTCAGTGGAACCTCCTCTCCCTCTTCTCAGAACTCCGGATCTACTGTTCCAGGTCCCAGTGTTGCATCCAAATCCTGTCTCACTAAATCTCATGGCATGGAAACTGAAAGGAAAAGGCTTGTGAACAAAGGATTCTCCCAGGCCGTAATAGAAACTATGCTGAAGGCTCGTAAGCATTCTACTTCAGCCACCTATTATAGAGTGTGGGAAGTTTTTTCCACCTGGGCTCTTCCTAGAAACATTGATCTTCAGAATCCTTCTTCCACAGATATTTTGGAGTTCCTGCAGTCTGGACTTTCTAAAGGTTTGAGTTATAATACTCTAAAAGTACACGTCTCAGCTTTGTCCGCCTTAACCAATCATAGATGGGCATTAGATTCAGACGTTATCAGATTCATTAAAGGGGTCCTTAAAATTAAACCTCCAATTAAACCATTTGTTCCCTCCTGGAATCTCCCTTTGGTTCTGAACGCCTTAAAATTAGAACTTTTTGAACCCCTTGAATCAGTTCCTCTGCAGGTTCTGTCTATCAAAACAGCTTTACTGATCTCCCTAGCTTCCGGCAGGAGAGTTTCGGAGCTTCACGCCCTATCCAGTAAGGAACCTTTTACGGTCTTTCATAAGGACAGAGTTATCCTCCGTACTGTTCCTGAATTCAGACCTAAAGTCACCTCCGCCTTTCACATTAACGAAGATATTGTTTTACCATCTCTGACGCCTGAATACCAAGAAAGCGAGAGTTCAACTGACATGTCATCTCTGGACCTAGTGAGATGCCTTTGGATATATATTGAAAGAACGGCAGCTTGGCACATTTCTCAAAACCTCTTGGTCCTTCATAGTGGTAGTAAAAGAGGCTTACAAGCCCCTAAAACTACCATTAGCAGATGGATAGTGGCAGCCATTATACGGGCCTATCAATCCTCTGGTTATCCGGTCCCTGTGGGTCTTAAAGCCCATTCCACTAGGGCCCTCTCATCTTCCTGGGCAGCAGCTAATGTCTCTCCTGAGCTCATTTGTAAGGCGGCCACATGGTCTTCCACCAATACCTTTATTAAAAGTTATCAAATTGATGTCAGGGCTGGTCTATCAGATCAATTTGCTAAATCTGTTCTGTCTGTATCCAATACATAATTCTTTGTTTTTTCACTGGTTAATGGTGTTAATACACTTTGCATTCAAAAATTTTGAGTCTGTGTTTTTTCTTCCCTCCCTGGTTTATTGCTTGGGTATTACCCAATGTTGTGCTGCCATGGATATGGCCAGGAAAATAGAAAATTTATCCATACTTACCGTAATTTTCTTTTCCTGGTCATAGGCCATGGCAGCACAAGGGTCCCACCCGGGGCTATTGTTGTAAAACATGACTGGGGAAGGAGGGGTTGGAGGTGGTACTTATACGGCTTAATTATTATTCCTGTCCAATGAGAATAGGGAGGAGCTACCCAATGTTGTGCTGCCATGGCCTATGACCAGGAAAAGAAAAT